CCCAGTTCTGTATGAATAAATAAATAAATCTTTAAAAAAAAAAAAAATAGTTCTCACGTGAAAGACGTCCAGGGTTACTACCCTCAAGGGACCAGCTGTCCCCCTCTCTTCCCAGGGGGAAGTTCGGCCAAGCAGACCACCTGGGAAGGTGGGCACCGCGTCCCAGCTCTGGCTTACTGGCCTGGCACGGTCCCTGGCAACGTCACCAGCGCCGCCCTGTTAAGGTAGGAGACCCGAACTACCCTGAGAACTGTGGCTTAAGGTAAGAAAAGTAACAGGCTGCTGGCGCCTGCGGACCTTCATCTTGCTGGCATTGGTCCAGCTGCTTCCAGTCTGCGGATGACAGTGACTGCACTGGCCAGGCCCTCGTGCTGAGTGGCGGCCACATTTCCAGAACATTCTACAGTATGTTCACACATCCATTCTGGTGCTTTGCTCCTCAGGGACAGACACTCCCAGATCAGAGAGGCTCCCTTCTGGTGCTCAAGCTAAAGCCAGCATCCAACCTGTGCCACTGGCCACCTCTTAGAGGCATCCGATGTGAACTTCAGGTGTGCACCCAGGTGACATGACCGCTTCAGAGAAAGGTCTTGCACACCTGCTTTCCCCCACAATTATAAAACAGGGAACCAAACATTTACCATCGGACTCAGCCATGGCATGGGCCAAGCGCCGGGCTGGGGACTGGAGCCAGCAGCCCACTGCACCCGAGGGGCTGGTGCTCTGGCTTTGGGGTGGGGGTAGGACCTCGGCAGCACCTGTGCAGGTGACCTGGTGCTTTGCAGCTAAAATTCTGAGGCAGGTGTCTCAACCCAGCTCTTGCCAGGCCAGGTCGTTCTGTGTCGTGGGCATGTTTCATAGACTCCTTGGCCTCCGCCTTGTGCCAAGTGCACCCCTCCCTGAGCCGTGACAACCCAAACGTCTGCAGGCTGAGCTGAGTGTCCCCCCGGAGGCAGACTTGAGGGTTCCAGCTCTCATGTGCTTTGTCTAGGCTGGTACACAAGGCTAAGGGGGCTGCAGGACCCTCAGCTCTGTTCAGAGCAAATGACCTGACCCCCCCCTTTTTTTTTTCCAAATGACCCCTTTTTTGGAGGTGACTGAAGCAATTATGGGTGCCCAGGTGGTGGGGAGGACTTGAGCTCATCTGAAGCAGCTACGGCTGCTGTGTAGCCAGGTGAGCAGGACTCCTAGGGTGCTGGGCCTTCCGGATGCCTGCAGGGATCTGTGCAGGGGACTAGCGAGTTCTGTAGTAGGAGCACCCCAGGGGTGCTGCTTGCACTCATGTCCTGTGAGCATCGCCCCTGCATAGGGTCTGGCCACACATCCCTTACAAAGACACCCCACATACACACACACACGCACTCACCTTCTCTGTTATCTGCCAGGGGCAGTGGTGTGAAAAACCGGCTCGCCTCACCCCCACTCTGCCCTGTAACAGACAGGCACACTTTGCTCTTGAGCTTCCCTGATGCCTTGGGGCTCCCAGCCCTCTGCAAAACTGACTGTGGGACCTGCTGACCTTTATATATAATTATATATTTTTAAAGATTTATTTATTTATTCATATAGAACTGGGGTACAAGCCAGAGGTGCAGGGGTGGTGAGAGGCTTTACTAGAGACAGAGTGGGGAGCAGAACAGGCAGATCAACGAAGTACACTGCTGAGGGGAACAGTGGGGAGACAGGAGGGGTCTGCCGCGCCGTGTGGGTCACCTCTGGGGCGGGGAATCGAACTCACACTGAAGGGGCTGCAGCTAGCTTGCAGTGCTGCGTCTTAACCCGTTGCGCCACCAGGGAGGGCCCACACCTGCTGACCTTTAAAAGGACACTGCAGTCCCTCAACCCCCTGCAGGGGGCTGAGACCAGGCAGGCGAGCACCCAGCTTTCTTAGGCTAACAGTGCCCGAAGGCACGGAGGCTCCCGGTCCTAGGGACGCCTCCTGCCCTCTTGCTCGTCTGGAGGAAGTTCTGTTCCCTTTCCTCCCTCCCTCTTGGCGAGGCCCATGCACGCTCATCCCTCCTCGCGCTGGCCACGTCTGTGTTAGGATGACCTTCACCTGCCCCACCCCCTCCATTGGCCCTGGGCTGCTCAGCACCCGCCTCAGAGCCCATCAACAGGTGGCCAGAGCACTGGTTCTCCATGTGCAGTGGGCTCCCCAAGCCCACCCTGCACACCTGGGGCTCCACACCTAAGAGCCCAAAGATGCAACGTCTGGACAACCCGAGCCAGGCCGAGGAATGGCCGAGTGGCCCCGCAAGCACCCCTGCCCACTCTGGGGCAGCCTCTCTCCTGGGGCTGAACCACCGCAGCCCCGCCCCCTGGCTGCCGTCTCACATCCCAAAGGCCAGGCCGCGCCTGCCTCAGACCAGGGCACAGAGCGACCGGCCAGAGGGATATTTAGGGGCACGTGAAATTTTTATTTTCATTTTTTTTAAACCAGGATTTTAAAAATCCTTTCAGATGGAAGAAAATCAAGTTTGGTTTGCTCTCTCCATTTTCTGCATTCATCTGTGTGACTAAGCTGGTGTGGCTTCTATTTATAGTGCAATGAAAGCTCTCAGTATTTGGTATGGGACGAGGGCGCCCTGAAGGCAGATGCACCCCAACCCTCCCAGGCCTCATCACCAACTGTGGGGCCTTGGGAATGTGCACTGGGGGCTTTGGAGACTCCCCCACATTTCACACACCCACAGACCAGTGTCAGGGAGGGGTTGGTTTGCACAGTGGGGGTCCCTGTGGTAGACTCCGTAGGGCGGACGCTTCCTGAGGTCTCCCCTCCGCTGGGTCCAGCCCCAGGACAGCTGTGGGACGTGTGTCAGGAAGGGTGTCCTCCCTGGCCGACCTTGCGGGCTTGGCTTCCTCTGTGACCTGGGCGGGGGTCCGTGTCCGGCCGAGCCTGCCAACCTGGTCACTGGTGCTGCAACCTTACTTTTGAGGCTCTGTCCAGGGAGTGGACTCGGTGACTCTGAGAGCCTTGTCAAATCCTGAGACCCTACGATCCCGTGACTTGGTGCTCCATGACTAGGAAGCCCAGCCTCACGGAGGAGGGAAAACAATAAGTCAGAACAAGAAGGCCTGTGGCTTGCCAAGTCTGACGCAGCTCTGTTTTTCTCGCCGGGAGATTTGACTCAGCCGTGATGACCGGCTCTCCGAGGGACACCACTGTAGAAAGCTTAACACATCCCTGCCACCTTGGCTCATGGGGACTCCCTGCTGTCCTGCGCCACCAGCCTGGGCAGGGACCTTGGGCTCTGAATGGGCTTCGAGACTGTTCTGTGCTCTGCTCTCTGGGACTGCGTGGTGTGGGATGCCCGCTCCAGAACACATATCTCCCAGGAAAAGTCGCCGGCTGCATGGACAGTGAAGTGGAGTCCACAGATACACTCTGCACTCAGGAGGGAGCTTGCTGGGGTGGTAGGGGGAGCCGAGGAGAAGAGGGGGCACAGGGCAGGAGAAGCCAGGTGGCAGGTGACTTGCCCCTGGAGGTGTTACAAGGCACCCCGATGTGAACTGAGTGGCCTGACTGGGTCCTCACCAGTGTGCTTAAAGGGACTGTAAGATTCTACTGCAGGCAGACACAAAAAGATTAGTAATGGGGTTATTTACAAGAAAAGGGGAAATGAATAACTCGGGGGCAAAAAAGAGAGATAAGTTGGTTAATGTGTCCTACCAGTCCTGCTGACCTGGAACCTCAATAGCAGGCTGAGAGTTGGTAAAAAGCCAAGAGACAAGCTGTGAGCCACGAGGCCAAGAGACCCCCAAGGCCCACGTGTCTGTTTTATATCCAACATCGCTGCTTAACTCCACCCTCAGGTCCCGGCATCCTCCCTTGGGTGATGCTGGGATTTGTAGTTCTGGTACCTGGCCCCACGTGGAGTCCACAAAACCTGCATCTGTAGAGGTCATTCAGGACATTCTTTCCCACAACAGAGAGGCAGGTTTGAGGAGGGCGAGTGGCCCCTGGATTGGCCCTGAAGTGGCCATGCTGCCCCCACCCCGGGCTGGGCAGCCCAGACCCCTTAGCTTCATGGCGCCTCACCCTGCCACTGACCTCAGTTGTCCTGAGCTCAGCAGCTCTGTGGGAAGGGGAGCCTGTATGCTCTCCCTGAGGACATTTTCCTGACGTGAACACAGCAGACCAGAGGGAGATGGGCCCTTTCCTCTAGCACAAGACTTTAAAAAAACCCATTATCACTAACTCTCCTGAAGTGTTGCCAATGACTGCCTGAGGGTGATGGATGGCACATTGTTCTCTTATTTTCCTGGGCGTTCTATTTTTTAACCTGCAAAACATTTACTGTGTCGTCACAGAAAAAAAGAGCTACTTTAAAGGGAGTGGGATGTTTTGCACGGCATGGAGGCCCCAACAGAGACTAGGTGTGGGTGACAACGGAGCGGGAGAGGTTGGAACATTCTCGTGCAGACACCTGTCGCACGCTGCTCCCTCTCAGGTGTGGCGTGGCAGGGAGGACCCCTCGTTCTTCCATGGGTCCTGGGGTGGAGGGGCTGTGAATAATCACAGCACAAATATCCACCAGAATTTTTTCTCAGAATTTAAGTTCCTCTCATTTACTATTATGTCAGAGTTTACAACAGAAATTTTAATTAGAAATGTTTTCCATTCTTCATTTAACCATCTATATATGTGTGCAAATATCTTTGTGATATCTTTCCAAGGCACTTCTCGGGGCCTCGCCTGTGTGTTTGGTGCACGCATGCCCCTCTGGGGCTGACGCTTATTATCACTCACAGTTTGGAGACCAGCAACTGGGGGTGAGAGTGAGAAGTCATGGAGGTGACCGGGAGCCGCGGGCCATGGAACCTGCGTGCTGAACTGCAGCTGGGTGCTGCCTCTCAAGGAGCTGAGATGCAGAAGAGGAGACGGGTGGGGAAGTGGGGTCAGGGGCTTGGTCTGGGCTGGTCAGGTTGGGTCTTGACCCCGCCCTGGCCACAGAGAGCCTGGGAACCACAGGCATGGTGCTGTCTTGTTTTTCCTGCAGTGTGCTGGACATCTTCCCCACGGTGCTGGCCCTGGCCGGGGCTGCCTTGCCGCCAGGACGGAGCTTTGACGGCCTGGATGCTTCTGCCGTGCTCCTTGGCAAGTCGCAGACTGGGCACCAGGTAAGTGGAGGGGGCACTTGGCTTATTTTTGTTGGGTGAGATGACGGACGAGTGCCCGGGCCATGTGGGGTGTCCCTCCTGGCATGGGGTAAGGATCTCAGCTGCCAGGCTCATCCTAAAATTCTCAGTGCACATAACGCAGGAACGGACGTCCAGCCTGACAGAGTGAAAGACGATTTTTGAATGGCACTCCCGCCCTGGAGGGCTCAGCCTGCAGCCTGCAGCCCATGAGCCAGTTGGGTTCAGCTACCCATCACCGGGTGTCCCCTTCAGTGTGCCGTGCAGCAACAGCCGGAAATGTCAGAGCTGATGGCCTTTCCCTGTCATTTCCGTGTGTCTTCCTTTTGCCAAAGGGAAGAGGAAGTGGGAGGAGAGGAGGCCAGAGGACCCCCTCTGTAAGGGGCTGCGTGCCCAGGCTTCTCCACGAGGAACCCACACATCAAAGGGTCTATTTATGTCCTTGCCGAGGGGAACTGGAAGTGACTCAGGTATTGCTTAAATGTCCAGTGGCCTTTGCGAAGCTGCCCTCCCTTCTCAGTCAGCCGGGCCCGGTGGCCAGCAGTGTCCACGCCTGTGTGTGCAAGTGTGCACCGGCCGGTGGGTCGCCAGGAGCGTCCGCAGAGGAAGCTCTGCCTCCCCAAGTGTCTGACCCTCCGGAGCTGCGGACCCAGCCTGTTCCGGCTGAGCTGGGTGGGGGTTGGGTGGCAGGAAGATAATTTCCGCCTTTGGACCAGAAATGAGCAGCTCAGAGCCTTGGGGGAGGCTGAAGACTCCAGCAGAGAGGCTCCTGAGTGTTGATTGCCGTGGCTACTGAGGGACTAATTGGGGTCACCAGGAAGCGTTTTCAGGCCGTGGGCTCCTTGAGGTGGCCAGTCCCCCCAAGGAGGCAGCTCCTGGGCCCCCAGCTTCCTTCCCACTCTTCCTCCAGCTGCACTGTCTGCAGAGTCACGGTGGCTCTGTCTCCGGGGCTCAGTCGGGACCCATCAGCTGCCACAGGACAGGGCTGGGTCAGCGAGCAGGGAGGAGATGCAGGTACAAGCCCCAGCACCTTTGGGGATGTCCTGGGGACATGTGACTTCTGGTCATGAAGCTGGCATGGGCTTGCTCTCTGGCCGCACACCCCCCACCCCACCCCCACCCGCCCAGGAGGAAACAGCCCTGCTCCGGGCTTGCCAGAAGTCACTGATGGTATCTTCTGGAGTCAAAGAGCAAGACTGCCGGCTTGGGGGGGGGGGGCAGCGCCTGCCTCTAGCCTCCCCCACAGCACATTCCTGCAGGGCACCTGAGATAAGATTACTGAGCATTTGAAGGTTTTGGGGGGCAGGGGAAAGCTTCCCCCTCCCACCTCTCCTCCCCTCCCCCCCAAGGTTGGGGTCTGGGGCGTCAAAGACAGGGCGGGGAGACTTCAGTGACAGGCAGGAGGAAGGGACGCCTCACCTTAGATGAGATGGGGAGAGGACGTGTTTACTGATAAGGCTCTGACCAGCAGACCCTCCAACTACATTCTTCTAGGTCGTAAAAGAGCAAGCAGCCATGGAGTCTCTGATTAGGGAAAAGCAGGAAGCTCAGAACATGCTGATCTCTCCTTTTATTAGGGGAGACTTAGGCAAGGGTGATTCTTCACGCTCACGGGATTTCACCACTCTCTGCTCAGAATACTCGGGGTGCCAGGGAGGGTATGCTGAGACCACTGTGAGAATCTTCGGGGGGGGGGGAGGTCTGACCGGGCCTCTTTGAGGGGCTTAGCTAATTGTTGGTCTTCCGTGGTCAACTGCTAGAGACTGGAGTGAACAGAAATTCACCAAAGGGAGGCCAGGACATATGACCGTAACGATCCACTGACCTACCCACATGTGCACACACATACACACATCTATGTGATGCATCATGTCCTTTTTGGTGAACTTATTCGTATTCACCCTCAGCAATGTCCTGGGCCTGCAGGGCTCTGCCCGGGGTGGCTTTCAAAGCCATTTCCGTTTCAGGAAGCTCACAGTGAAGCCAGGTGTCAACACTATATGCAAATGGGGGAGGGGGGGAGCTGGGTTCTTCCCTACTTTGCAAATGAAGCGGCCTCCCCAGGCCCTGTGTCCAGAGGTTGAAAGTTGAGTCCTGGACTATGCTTTCCCTCGGAGGTCTTCTCGCTGTGCACTTACTTCGTCCACGGCCGGGCACCTCGGGTCGGTGATGTTCAAACTCCAGAGCAGCTGGTACATGCTGAGCCTGCAGCTTCTGACCCGGCTAGGGCTGTGCCCAGCGCAGACCATGGAGGGCTGCACACATGCCTGGCACGACTCCCGCCTGGGCTTTCCTGACTGCCAGTCAGAAGCCAGAGGTTGTAGAGACAGGAGTAAGTCAACTCAGGGGAGGCTTCCGCCTGTCTCTGCACCTGCCTGGCCCAAACCAGCCCCAGGCTGCTCAGGCTGTAAAACCTGCGGAAGCCCAGGCCCTGCAACGCCCACCACCTCTCTTAGGGAGGCCCCTAGTGGTGAAAGACGCCAGGCAGAGGTGTGCACCCTCACCTGTTGGGGGCGAGGACAGACCTCCATCTGGGGGTGCTGTGTGAGCCCTGGGCCTCCAGGTCCTCACGTCAGGAGGCCGCTGGCCCGCTTAGGACACAATAAAGCAACGGATAAGAGGGCGACCACAAAGACGTGACGTGTTTGCAGACGGTCAGGTTATCTTTGAAATTTGGACCGGCTTTCTCCGGAGAAGAAATTGCTTCCGTGGCAACCCGGGCCAAGTTGCCAGCCTTCTTCCGACGTGGAGCTCAGCCAGCACCTCACAGTCACTCTGCCCAGAGGGGAGGAGTCCCCGAAACCCACCCACGCTTCCCAGGGCAGCCGACGCCCAGGTTTGCGGCCTGTGGGATTTCAGAACAGCCTGCCTGGATGACCCCAACGCGGGTCATCTGTGTGGGGTTCCTGGTCCTGGGTCTCAAGTCATGTCCTTGCGGGGGGCCACCAGACCTTGTCCCCCATGGCCTCCCATCTTCTGGGGGTCAGAATGCCTGCAGATGCGTTGACAGTTCGGTTTGCAAGTCTCCTGCTTCCTGCCTCTCCAGGAGGAAACAAAACAGACTTGTGTGGCGAGAGACTGGGCTTCCCGTGGGGCTGGGAGAAGTGAGGGTTTGGGTTACACTGCTCTTCCTGTTTGGAAGAAGCCGTGTGGGCATCACGAGAGAGAAGCGGAGCGGCAGGTGTGGGGACCCGCCAGCGTCCTCCCCAGCTGCGGACCTGGGGGGGTGGGGGGCAGCTGTTTACGGCTCCAACACATGTTTCTTGTTTTTTTTTTTTTTTCTTGAGCCCCATGGAAACTTTGAATCATGTAAGTGCCTTTCCAGCGATCTGTATCGGTCATGATTCATACCACGTTCTCACGCTTCTCGCTGAACCCCCCAACCCAGCAAGGACGCCCATCATTTATTTTCTTCCAAGTCTCTCCCTTAGAAACCCCAGATGAGTCGCTTCCGGTCTGGAGGGTCATTCTTTCATTTAAGGCGCGGTCAGAGTAGGGTTGACTCCGAGGAAAGGGCCTGTACCCCCTCACCGGGAGCCTGCTCTGTCCCCTGAAGGGGCCCTCTGGCTGTCCTTGTCACAGAGGCTGGAAAACCCTCCAGCTGCTGAAGAAGCCCCTTTCCAAGAGAGCTGGGCTCGCTGGTCAGAAATCCATTGGAGGCACCCGGGGCCCAGGCCCCACCCTGTGCCTGAGGGCTGGCGCCCAGCTCGGCTGTCTGGGGTGTGACAGGGCCTGGGCAGTTCGTGCCAGACAGGCCCAGGGCTCGGTTTAAAGTGCCTTTTGGTGCTGGGCGTCGTCTCCCTGTTCTCCTTCACCACCCTGCAAATTCTGACATCGGTATGTGCTGTATCTGACCAGAGCCTCGGCCACACTGACTGAACGAGGATCACCCCCCGCCCCCCAATTCTAGGGCTCCTGGCTGATGGTGTGGACAGCTGTGGACCAGAGGGGATGGTGGGGCTCTGGGGGCTTGATGCTGGGAGCACCTCTGTGATTTTAACATAAATCCCGGCACCCCTTCTCAGGTGCTGTTTCACCCCAACAGCGGGGCGGCCGGGGAGTACGGAGCACTCCAGACTGTCCGTCTGGAGCGCTACAAGGCCTTCTACATCACCGGTGAGTGCATGGGGCCCCTCAGCTCTGCTCCCCGTGCAGCCCTGGACACCAGCCCCTGGATTCCTGGGTTGTCTCGGGGACTCTCAGCACGGTTGGAGGTTCCACCCCAAAAACTGGTCCTGGCAGAAGGTCCCCAGCACCCAAGGCTGAGGCACAGGCCTTTGGCACCCACAGAGATGCAAATAAGTGTTTGCCTAATTTTCCACAAGAGCCAAGCTCCTTCAAGTTCAAGCACTTTTGTAGAGTCCCTTCCTGCCCCCCCAAAGTCCAGTCCATTGTTATGCTTTCAATGCCAGTTTGGTTGTATATTCAATGGAAGCTGAGAGATATTTTAAGGGGTCATTACTGGATAATAGGCTGTTTCAGAAAATAGCCCTTAGAAGTCTAGCAAACGGACAGAAGTCTCCGCTTCTGGCTTCACTCTGTGCTGTCCTCAATGTCTGCTTTAGGCACTTCTTGCTGCCAGCTGGATTCAGACTCTGTCTACCTGGCTCCCTCTGCCTTTCTGGACTTAGGGCTGCAGCGAGCAGCCTCGCCCAGGCGTCTGTAGTAACCTCCCCGGCAGCTTTTAAGACCTCAACTCAAGTGCCCCCTCGATCCTGATATTCTCTCGTACTTCCAGTGCGGGCTGGTTGGAGAACTGTGGACATTTGTCGCATTCTGCCTGCCATGTCTGTCTTCCAAGCACATCTTGTCAGCCCCTAACTCAGAGCCCCGCAAGCTTTTATGCACGTCTTAAGAAGCATCAGCATGGTTTCTGGTCCTTAGTCGGAACCCCAACGCAATGAATGAAAAATAAAAGATGAATGGACAAAGTGTTGTGCCGGCCCGGTGCAGAGCCCAGCTGGAGTCGATTATTTCACATTAGCGTTTTCCACGGAATGATATAACACAAAAGCAAAAAACGCTGTTTCCCTGGGTGTAAATAAGTGACCCTGAAGGAAATGTGGCAGAAAAACAGAACAAGTTGTTTTGAGTCCGTCCCTGGAAGGATATGAAAAACACCACAGGAATCTGATTCTCCAAGACCAGAAATGTGACCGGTCAGACATGTGTTTTGCTTTCCGATGAAAGTTTCTAGATTACGGTCTTTCATTACCTTATCGAAGCGGCATGGCTTCTCCAGGCTGAGTTAATTTCAGAAGTCGTCACCCTGCCAGAAAGCCCTTGCAACCACAACACTGGAATAATAACTGTTACCATGAAGTAATGGGCCTGTTTAAATGATCACAGTTCTACTCAGGGGAGGCCGGGTGGGGAGGGCTGAAATCCCAACAGATGTGGCGAGATTTATAAATAGGACAAAAAGCTCAGCTTGCAAGGCAGGGCCCAGGGCAGAGCCTCTGTTTCTTCTTGAGCCAGGCTGGGTTGCGCTGCGTTCCTGTGAATGTGCCGATTCACCCAGGCCACTGACCCATATCCTCAGGACTGAGGTGCTGGCTGACAGTCCGCTTTGTGGCGTAAGGATCTGCGTGACACCCCTTTGCATTCCTGATGTTAATGTCCGGAGCCTTTTAGCCTGGGGGAGCCCAGCTAAGCGTTGTCAGACATGGTGTAGTGGAGTGACTCACTTTCAGTGTAGTTGTTGGTGTGACGGGGTTTCCCTAGACCACTTTATCCTTCCTCAGTTTGTTTGATGTATGTTTTGTGGCTCTCCTGTTTTCTTTTGGATTCCGTTTTTACAAATTAGCTTCTCTATAATCTATTTTTTAAAGATGTTATTTATGCATGCATGTGTAAAGAGCTGTGAAGGCCAGAGGTGCAGGGGGTGAGAGGATTCACCAGAGACAGTGGGGAGCAGAACAGGCAGATCTACTGAAATACACAGCTGAGGGGAGCAGTGGGGAGACAGGAGAGGTCTGCTGCGTCAGGTGGGTCACTCCCTGACTGGGGATCGAACTCCGAACTAGGGCTATCTTGGTGATAGCGCTGAGACGCACCCCCTGAGCCTTCAGGGCGGCCCTCTGGAATCTTCTGTACTTCTTTAAATGGCTGCCCAGGGCTTGTGTTCATTCTCCCTCCACTGACCTCGGGGTAGCAAGCGACTGCTGAGCCCTCCCGGGTGAGCGTCGTTACCTCTGACAACCGTGTTTCTGTATAACCGTCCTTGGCCTCTGCTGTCACTGTCTTATTTCTTAAATCTCTGCACTTTAAAACGCCACGATACAATTTCAATACTTTGGCATGAAGCGGCTCTCTTTAGGGAAGTTCAGGTAGAAAAACAATGCTTAGACTCCCCAGGGCACACGCCCTTCAGGGGGCCGGGGATTCTCTCCGCTGTCGCTTTCCTGCTGTCTAGAGAGCTGAGCGTTTCTTAGGGTGCAGCCCCCCTTCTTCAAGGCCTGTGGCCAGGCCTCTCTATTTCCACACAAGGCCTCTGCGGTGGCTGCTGCTCCTGTGTGTCGTCTGCCCACCTGGTGTGGCCTGGCCGCTCAGAGGGGGCGTTCACACTTCTGTGTGTTCATGTTCTCACTGATGAGGATGGAAGGTGACTTGACGCTCCTGACATGCCAGCAACCGGAAATTTCCTATTTCGAAGTTTCTAAGAACATTTGAGGGGGCTAGATAGGCTGTGGAGCTTGAGCCTCCGGTCTCCCGGGACACTGGTTTTGTTCTCATGGGTGGTTCGCCACCACCTCACCCTCTTCAACCGTGGGAAACGGCTCTTTGAGATTTTGCTCTTAATCTCAGCTAAACCCCTTCGTCCTGGCCTTTACACCTAGCGTGAACCTTTGAGGGCGTCCATGGAACTATGACGTGCTTAGCAAGTGTTGCTGACTTCGTGGGATTCACCCTCGATCTGTGTTCCCTGCAGGGGCCGCTGAAGTGCTCTGAGCTCTTCAGCTTATAGCTCATGTCACTGGGGTCCCGCACAGGACTCGGGGTTCGGTCCACGAGCCATGGGAATTTCCTGGCAGATTCTGGGGCTGCTTTCTGGTGGCCTTCTTCCCAGGACTTCCCCACTGGCTGGCATCTGTCTGGCATCCCTCACCTCGGACCCGGGGTCACACGGCCTTCTCCCTAGGTTCTCTGCTCTGTGCTGTGTCCCCAGGGGGACACAGTGGGACCTGCCTCCCAGAATCGAATCCCTTTCAGCGTTTGCTTGCCTGGTTTATGTTCTAATGCCTTCCTTTGGTTGTATTTTTAAAACTACGTTGCCGTGGATTTATAACACGCCTCTGCTCTTTAGTGACTCCAGACTTGAGGCTGAGACTAATGTCTTACTCTCTGCTGATCAGCCTGAGTATCACAGGCAGCAGAGGGCGCTGTGTACAGGTACCACCTCCCCCTCCCCCCACTTTCCCCCTTCCGCTCTGGCTGGGTCTCCTGGGTTTGCTGGGTCTCCTGGGTTTGTTCTTACTGAATTGCACTTGGCGACAGGGTAATGAGTCCTGGGGGACAGCTGATCTCGCAGCTGGGTTTTCTAAGGATGCTGCTAAGCACCCACTGGCAGGGCCCTGCTCTCACGCTGCGGTGCCAGAAAAAGCTTGGTGTGCCCTGTGCCCACCACTGGCAAAGTCCACTGGCAGTTTCAGCTCAGGTGTGCGGAGCGCCTGTATTTCCGATGGCTGGCCTTTGTGGATTCACTTCTCTGACACCTTTGCTACATTTTGCATGGAAAAGGCAAAAAAAAAAAAAAAATCAGACATCATGACTAGCCAGGGGTGTGGCCATTACCCCAACATTCTTGTCGCTCACTCCTCTCTTGGGTCCCCCTTGATAGCCAGATCTTAATTCCCAGTGAAGCTTGGCTTCAGTCCCAAGTGAAATCACTCACCTCGCCTTCCTGCTCACTCACCGTCTTTGCTACTTGAGCCCATTTAAAAAAAAAATCAAACACCCTCCCAGAGGCAGAGAGGAAAGACACGTTTGAGGGAACAGGCTGCTGGCGGTGCGGGAAGGTTCCGGGAGACGTTCAGGTACTTTCGACAAACGGGGTGAACACAGGGGTCACTTCCAGGCCGGGCCTTTGACGGGGGAGGCCCCCGAGACTCTGCAAGTCCTGGCCATGTCAATGTGTAAGAGATCGTGGGGATCCTGACAGCCGGGCCACAGCGGCGCTGATGGGGTGCTTGTCTCTCTCCCTAGGCGGAGCCCAGGCCTGCGATGGCCGCACTGGACCCGAGCAGCTCCAGGACCCTCCCCTCATCTTTAACCTGGAAGATGACGGCGCTGAAGCGGAGCCTCTGGACAGGGGTGGCGCCGAGTACCGGGGGGTGCTGCCCCGGGTCAGACAGGCTCTCGCGGATGTCCTGCGGGACGTGGCTGGCGACCGCACCTCCAGGGCCGATTACACCCGGGCCCCTTCAGCCACGCCCTGCTGCAACCCCCACCGGGCTGCCTGCCGCTGCCAGAGCGGCCCCTGGGCCTGACTTCCCCGCGGGAACGTCCGGACGCGGCATGGGGCGAGTTGGCGCCAAGACGTGGTTTTACCCTCTCTGCAGTTCGTGCTCAGAAACAAGGCACAGGGTTGGGGTTTGACCCTTCGGGCCATTGGCTCGCTGGCTGTGGGGCGGCTCCTGGGCTTTGGGGTAAGACAGGTGCAAGCCCCAGCTTTTGCACGTGGGGGATTATTTGGGCCACCCTGCAGCCTGCTCTGGGCCTCGGTCCTGAGGCCCCACAGGCAGTCCACGCATGTGCCTGGCTCGCTGTGTGCGGTCTGGTGCTGCGCCCCCTGGTTTTGTGGGTCAAGTCACCACAGGTTCATCCTAACCGGTGTCTGCTGGGCATTCTCCCTGCAGACTATGCCCGGGACCGCCAGGGGCTGTGCCAGTGCAGAATGGGAGTCAGGAGATCTGGCTGGGGTCTGAGCTCTGTTTCTCCGAGTCCTATGGGGTGCTGCATGGGTGTACATGGCACAAAATTAAGCCTGTCATGAAGTCTCAGAGAAGAACCTGCAGTAAGTCTATGGTTCTAACTGCTTATCCCTAGCCCCCCTTAAAAAAATAAAAAAAAATTCTGGGCCCTCCCTGGTGGCGCAGCAGGTAAGGATGCAGCACTGCAAGCTGGCCGCAGCCACTTCAGTGCGAGTTCAATCCCCGGCCCCGGAGGTGACCCACAGGGCACAGCAGACCTCTCCTGTCTCACCTGTTGCTCCCCTCAGCAGTGTGCTTCATTGATCCATCTGTTCCGCTCCCCACTCTGTCTCTGGCGAATCCTCTCACCACCGCTGCGCCTCTGGCCTGTACCCCCATTCTGTATTGAGTTAATGTTGGTTTACCACAATGCTTTTGGCTCAGGGGTTCAAGCCTACACCTCTCAGAAGTGTGGCCCCCACCAAGCCCTCGCCTTCTTTTAAGGTCAAATGACTGCCTTTTAGAGATTTTTGGAGTTTTCCCTGTTTCCTAAAGCCATGGAGAAATACAATGTACAGACCTTTCATTTCTGCCATCATTTTATTATTAGTGTCCTAGATGGGACTCAAAGATAATAAATGATTTGCTCTGATCACTGCAAAAATACTTTGCTTGGCTAACAGAGTCTCTATGTGGGTGTAATATACAAGAAATACAGTCCAGAGAGGTTTTCCTATAGGTACATTTTTACACAGCATACATTGGAAAAGGATGCCCTTTTTAATACAAAATTCTGGCTACAGACCAATATGGTTAGTTTGCGCTGACCACAGCGGCGCGTGTCCGCAGGCAGCCTGTGGAGGCGTCTCCTGCCCGCTGGGGCTGCGGAGCTGGCGACCAAGTCCCGGGCTTCGGTGGCCTGGGGCTCCTGCCCCTTCTGCTCACACAACTGCACTCCGTGTTCCACCTTCCTCCTGAGAGGGGGCCTGAGTCTGGGGTGTGCTTCTCATCAGGACTGCTTCGTTTTGCCCTTCTGACTTCCGCGGCACAAGATTATCTACCGAAATCAAAACAGAACGGCCTTACTCTTTCCGGGAAGAAGCCGGGCGCAGCTTGCCCTCAGGCCTGGGCCCCGCGGCGTGCGCCTGGGAGGCCCCGAGCTTTTCTCTCGGGTCCACAGAGGGACCCTCACTCACAGCGAAAATCCACCCGTCTCGTTTATGTCTTGACGAGCACGGCCCAGTCTCGGAAAATACTATTTGGAAAACACGTATGTGCTGTGTCTGTGCTTTTTTTTTTTTTGGAAAGGCTGATCTCCCTCGTAAACATGGACTGCTAGATCGTCCCTCAGGAATCCCCTCGGTCCCGATTCCTGGACTCCGGCGCCTGAGAGAAGACTGGCTGAGAATACACAGACCTGAGGGCCGTCTGGCTGCTGAAACGCGGCCCCTGAACCCACATCTTCCTACGCTACCAGAAACGACACATCTGCCACCGTTCTTGGAGCACAGGAGGTGCCCGGGAGACAAGAGGGCAGAGAGGAGGGAAAGTGTCAGTGTATTTCCAACAAGTCCCGTGAGGGTGACCCACGTTCTCCCAGCAAAGCCGAGGGCGCCCAGGCTGAGAGATGATCCAGGCAAGCCCACACGAGCCACGTAGCTCTAACCCAGCTGCGACTCCGGGGCCCTTTCAGCCTCGAATGTGCTCAAAGCTGTGAGCGCTGGGCCAGTTTCATAACCGGCGTGAGGATTCTGAGCAGAGGAGCGGGCTAGCCCCTCCTGCTGGGGGTACCCCCCAGAGGGGCGCCGTGGGGCGGCCGGTGTGGAGAGGACGCCGGGGTGGCCAGGCCGCTGAGCCTGGGGGGAAGCCTGCTGCCACCGGGGCCAGGCCCTGTCCTCGTGACCGCCTGCCTGCAGGCAGAGGGCAGGGCTGGCCGCCGGCGTCCTGACGCCCACCCAGCTCTGCTCCAAGTCCAGCATCTGTATAGGGACCTCGTGTGGGGACCTATTCTGTGTCCAAAAACCCTTGAAGCAACTTAAAGCACATCCCTTGGTCCTTGAGAGGGAGAAAGGCCGAAACCCAGCTCCTAGAACATTCTAGGAGGACGTGGCCTCAAGCTCAGCTAGCACTAGTGCCCAAGTGTCTTGTCTCCCTCAGTAAATGATCTACTGACTGTACCTATTACTTTATTCCGCGTACCTATTTACTATTGGCAAGAGGCCGCCTCCTGAAGCTAATGTCCAAAGCACCTCAGTTTCTAACAGGTTGACTCTGAGGATCGGATTAAGAGCTATTAACAACCTACTCATCTTTTACATAAGCCCAGACTTGCACCAGAGCAAGTGAGGGGGACCTAGCTAGCGAGAGCAGCGCGAGGGCTCGTGTCCACTGCCTCCGCCTGGCTCTGCCAGGAGATGCACCTGTAGGTGAGGAAGCACCCACGTCTGGGGAGACAGTGTCCCCCTCTCTGGTTACGGGGGGATTGAGCGCCCCAAGGCGAGTAAGTGGTCTATCAGGAAGCTCCAAATCGGCAGCTATTTTAAATTAACCATTAGTATTTTGCCGAACCACTGCTCTCCGCCCTGAAAACAAACGGCACCTGGCGGCCAAGCACTTGAGCACCTGTCTATGGGAAGCCCGAAACTCAATCCCGAGCTGCGGCCCCGGGCTCCTATGGGAAATTCCGCGCGGCCGCCTGCCCGCGCGCGGTCAGCTTCTCTCGCTGACCCAACCGTCCGCGATCTCAGCGAGAAGGAAGCTGACCCGCACCCATCCTTCTGCGGCGGAATGGGGACTGACGCCGGACGAGGGCGGCGAGCACAGCAGCGCCCAGGGGCACCGGTCATGCCCGGTGGCGCCTTCCGTCCTGCTCCCCGAGGGCCCCTGCGGGGCTCATGTCTTGGCCTCAGCCC